CAGTTGCAGGGTCCCCAACATAAAGAAGACATGGACCTCTTGGAGCTAGTCCAGAGGAGGGCCATGAAGATGGTCAAAGGGCTGGAGTACCTCCCATATGAGGACAGGCTGAGAGAGTTGGGGTTGTTCAGCCTGCAAAAAAGAAGGCCCCAGGGAGACCTAATAGCAGCCTTCCAGTACCAAAGGGAGCCTACATGAGGGATGGGGAAACACTCTTTTTCAGGGTGTGTAGTGACAGGACAAGGGATAACAGTTTTAAGCTGGAAGAGGGTAGAGCTAGATTAGATATTAGGAAGAAATTTCTTCCTGTGAGGGTGGTGAGACACTGGAAAAGATTGCTCAGAGAAGTTGTGGATGCCCCATCCCTGGAGGCGTTCAGGGCCAGGCTGGATGAGGCTTTGAGCAACCTGGTCTAGTGGGAGGTGTCCCTGCCTGTGGCAGGAGGGGGTTGGAACTTGATGATTTTAAAGGTCCTTTCCAACCCAAACCATTCTATGATTCTATAAATTTTTGAATCCTGAGGTTGGTTACTTATCTTTGCAGTACTACTGAGGCTGTGTGTTACTGCACATGAACAGATTTTTCCCTTTATTGTGTTTTCCACCATTCTCATGCAGCCACATGCTAAGCTGTGGAAGAACTGGAATTTTTGTTAAGGAGACAAGAAAGTTTCTCAACCAAAAGGAACGTGCCATGAATGCAGAGCTTAAACCTTTTGGATCGTAACTAGTGATCAGAGTCCTCTCATTGTTTCATTGATAGATGCTGCAATGTCTGAAAAAATACGGTTGTAATTTGTTCCTCTTTGCTTGAATTTTCTGTGGGTTATTTTTTTGGTTTTTCGTGTGCTTGGGTGGTTGTGTTTTGTTTTGTTTTGTTTTGTTTTTCCCCATCCCTGGTTGTAGTCTCTCTTCTTTTCACTGTCTCTTTACCTAAGTTGTTCACTCCATACTTGCATCCTCTCTTCCTCCCTTAATTTTACCCATGCCTGTCCATTCTCTCTAAAGAGATTTTTTTTTCTGTTAGTTTTTCACTCTGACATTAAACCAGTACTATGGTGAGAAATGCAGAGTATATAGAGAGATGAGCTGCAGAGAGGATCCACATGATACAGTCCAAACCTTGCGCTCCTGAAGTCAGTCAGTATTTTACGTGTTCATGTTATGGACTGTTTTACCAACCACATATTTACTTTCTACTTAAAAAAACCCAACAAACACAAAGAAACAAACAAAAAACACCAACACCAAAACCCAACAACACACAACGTTCTAAATTTAACATTTTGATAGGAATTTTCTTGGGAATATTACTTTGCAGTAAAGGAGAATATACATAATTGACAAAAAAAGGGAAGAAGATAACATACAGAAGTACCATGTTAAATGTGTACTTACTATCCATAGGATAAACTTTTTAAATATTACTTTCCTTGCTATCTTGCTTGATTTAACTTTATTATTGTGTATTATGATGAATAGCTTTTTGATATATTTTTTTCAATACATGCTGCCATTTCACTGTTTTCCTTTCACTGAGGGATTCTTTGTATCATTTCCTCTGTGCACTGTAGTTTCTTCCTCCCTGAAACATCTGTTTACAATATCCATTGTTTCTTATAAAGAAGCAAGAGCCTAAATACATACATACTCAGTATACAAGACCTCCTTTGCATATATGTAAGTTGGATTTCTACTTCTCTGTTTGAACTGCTACACTGCACTGATGCAATGTTTAAAAGCTTTCCAGTGTAGCAGTGCTTTGATTTCCTTAATTCAGCTAATTTAACTAATGGTTTCATTTTTTTTCAGTCTAGAGGTAGAAATGTTGTACTACTGGTAATAGCTACTGTACAAAGCTGATAATGTAAAATTTTCTAACTGTTGAAAAATGTTGATTCTTCTTGACTAGTTGTGAGCTGCTACACTGTAGTACTTTTAATGCTTGTTACAGTTGGGGAATGAAAAAAAAACCAATAAAACTTGTCTGTCAGTCGAGCCATTAAATGTAGCGTGCTTTTCTGATGTTTTGTATGAAAGAACCTATCTCATCTTGAGCTGTCAATTATTACTTTCCCTAACTGCTTGGTATTTTAAATTCTGTAAATGAGTGAGTTTATTTATGTTCCCCATGACATCAAATTCAAGTTCTAGTTTCACTGGATCTCAATTTCTAGATCTGGAATTGAATCCCCCACCTTGTTTGCCAGTTGTATAACAGATGCAGTTGTGCTCTTGACACAACAGATGTAATATTTGCACCCAGTATTCCTATGTGGTTTCTTCACATTGTGGTTGTTGTATAAATTAATTCCATCATGTAATCCCATCAGCCTGTCTGTCTTCTGTTTACTCTCATTTGTTTACTCACGTCCTCATACTTACAAAAACTTTGTAGTGTAAGAAACAGACTTCCTAAATTGCTTTGCTTAGTTCTCAGCTGGTGCAGGCAACCGCATCCTGTCCCTTCTGTAAAATCTGTACGATCCATCTTTAAAGTTATGGTGTTGCTTATCTCTGCTACTATTCCTAATGGAAGGCTATTCCAGAAAGCGTCAGCTCTGGTGGTGAGAAGTTCTGTTCTGATTTTCGTCTTGCTTGTGTTCATGCCCGCATTTATTGCTGTGTTAGCATTGCCCTGTAGCATTCTTCACTTGTAACCTTCTTTGGCTGTCTTAGAGAGGGCAACCACATCTCCTCTTGACCTTTGTTTTGTTAGCTAAAGAAACCAACCCCTTCTATTTTCCTCTAATAGAGTTTACTGTTCCCCTGACCATCCTAGCTTGCTGCACTTGTTTCACTGTCAGGTCTGGATTTTGCTGGTTCAGGCTTCTTATCATGTATCTGTGGAGAAAGTTACTAATTTAAATGTCTGCTAGTGGAGGAACTTTTCCCATTGAATATCTGTATAATTTAATTATTGTGGAAGTAATACCGAGAAAGAACTTGCATTGGCAGTGACTGCCTCTGATGTTTACAGCTTTCCCAGGGATGAACATGAAGGGAAATTAACAGATTTTTTTTTGTTCTTGTTTTTTTTCGTTGTGTTAGCTACAGGATTTCCAACACTACTGACTAGTGACGTGGCTTTAGTGAGCTTTCATGCAGTTTCAGTCAGGAGAGAAGAGATCATCAGACATGACCTTTCTATTGTACATATATTTGTGAAATGTGTTCTTTCATTTCTTTAATTACTAACCTTTCAATGAAAATTTAAATTCTAAAAGTGTTAGCTCCTGTGAGTTTGCTGTTGCAGACTCATTGTGGGAAAAGCTAGGTTCTCTTTTTCTTTTCTTTTTTCTTTTTCTTTTCTTTTTTTTATTTTTTTGTTAGGAATAGCTTATTTATAGAACTAAGGAACTGCTGAAATTCTGTGTATACTGGTATTTGTTTTGGGTAAAGAACCACGAGTATTAAGTAGCATTTGAAACTGCTCTGGGTGTTTGAAGGCTGTTTTCTCCTGGAATTAAAAAACCCAAACACAACAACCCACACAGCGTATCTATCTGTAGCAGTTTCCTTAACTAGATTTCTTTACTGGTAATGTACTGTATTTTTAATAAACAAATGCGATTTAGTGGTGAGAATGAGACTGTGGCAGGTGCAGCAAAGGAAGTCAGCTCATTTTCAGTTCTGTTTAACCTCAGTGTTGGTATTTTTTTTTCAAAGAATTCAGTTGTGTGTAGATAGGGAAACTCTGAAAAGTTACCTTCGGTGGTTCATGAAAACCTTGAGCAGGGAAAGGACTTATAACATTGGTTTTCTTTGTCTTCCTTGGAATCCACACATATTTATTAGCAGTAGTGTCCTATATATTGCCATTGGTGTGGCATAAGAAAGAATGAGATAAAAATTACTAAGGACATGACAGTGATCTTTTGGTTTGCATGTATTGTATATGTGAGTCTTAAATATGTTGGCTTGTAAAGTAAGCATAAGCAAATCATTATTTGAGCATCTTCAGGAGATAACCTAAATGCTTACACAAGTCTTTTTACTGTTTCCAAACCTGTTATCACAGGTGCTTGTCTCTAATAGGTAAACACAGGTATATCAAATTACTTTAATTTATTTTGTTTGTCTTCAGAAAGTATGATGTTCAATTTTGTTATTTCATTAGTATAATAGTGGATTGTAATGTGTGAACTTTGTAAATTTTTGTTATTTTGTAAATGCAGTTCAAATGACAAAAATTGTGACTTTTCTTTTGGGTTTGGTGTGGTGGTTTGTTTTTTTTTTTTTAGTAGTGTGGACATTACAGTTGGTATCTTTATAGTTTGTGAAAACCAAGTGAACAAATTTCTTTCTCAGTAATTGAATATAAACTGTGCTGTTTGACAGGAAATAAACGAGCTAGTTCAGTTGTGGCTAAACCTTTTATTTTTGTGAAGGGGCTGATAGAGTTTGTGGTAGTAGGACCAGACAGTGTTTAATATTAAAGAGATATTTTCAGATCAATTTGGAAATAGCTGCTACTTTTAAAATATGCTAAGATTTAATTGTTTGTCACTTTGTTTACTCCTGGATTTTTGCATCTGTAAATTACTCGTTTTGTTTTTGCTAGTCTCTTCTCATATGAAAAATGCCGCCTCCTGCAAAACTGGGAAGTGAATATAACAGCTAATTACTTAACCTGGTTATGCATCAAGTGCTATCCACTGCAGTATGAACTAACAAAAGTTTTGTTACCAGTTTTTGATTTGGTACTGTATAACGTGAACAAATATTCTTTTGGCTGCCTTATCTTCCATCTTTTTTGGTGAAGGGCTCTACTTCCAACACCAGAAGCTTGCCTTTTGTTTGTTTAATATAATTTGATATTTAAAACCTATGTTGTTCTACCCACTCTTGAAAAAAATTTACTTAGTATGCAACTGAGGGTATGGTCTGTGTTTCATTTATGTTAGTGAATTTAAAATTCTAAAAAAAAAAAAGCTGAGAAATTTTTCATTTGATTTTGTTTGTTTTTTGTTTTTTTCTTGTTTTTTTCTTTTTTTTTTTTTTTTTAGTGCTTGGGAGATGGGAAGTAATGACAGCTGGCACCTGAACTGAAATATCTGTGTAGGCACTACTATCCCAGAATTTCAGGATGAATGGGGATATGCCTCATGTTCCCATCACTACTCTTGCAGGGATTGCTAGTCTTACAGACCGTAAGTACTTTTTCTTGTCTTTGCTATGCTGCTTTCTACCTCTTCAGTATATACGTGCATTTTCAGAATACTAAAAATAGTGTTATTTTTAAAGTTCTTCAAGGTAAATCTGCTCAAAATCTGATTTGGCATTAAAAATGCTAATTTCGTTATTGTTTGAATTTTAAAAATCTATTCAAATAAAACATGCTAATTTAAACAGGAACTGAAATATACGTTAAAAAACCCTTAAGGAAACCTGAAACAAAACATGGAAGTTCATTGGTTGTTGGGAATATCATTCAGTGGCATATTTGAGCACCCCACAAATAAAAGAAAAATGTATAAATGATAAAATACTTCTCTAAAACATATATATCATCTTCACTGAAAAGAGAGTGAGAAAGAGGATTAGACTGATGCTCAGCTAACTAAAGAGAGTTCTGGAATATGGTGAATATACTTGAAACGTTCCTTAGTTTTGGACAAGGTACAAAAAAAGTTACTCTAACAGGTGCAAAGAATGGCTGCTAGAATGGAAATAAGCAGCTGAACTATGTGTCTTCTTTCTTAACTCTTCAGCCTAAAAAAGGAGCAGATGATGTGTGTGTACTGTCTTTAAATACACCAGGAAGACAAAATGCAAGGAAAGGAAAAGAACTATTTACAGTAAAGCTGATACTGGCACAAAACCAAATGGTTATAATGTGACTGAAAAGAAATTTCTAGTGAAAACTAAGAGATTTATCATTGCTATAATGAGGTCCTAGAAAAACCGCTGCAGTACAAGCAGTTAGGACAAGGATACATTTTGTTTAAGTGTAAGAAAGAGTTTATAGCTCAGTTGTCTGAGTATAATTGGACTCAGTGACCCTGGTGCTTCTTCTGAGCTCTTGTTTTTGTTATTATACTGTTGAAATTAGGAAGCTTTGCAAGAGACAGTGAAAGTATATACCCATCAACGTTTTTAATTGCCTACAGTAAAAAAAGCAGATGTATTTGAGGAAAAAAACACTCTTCATGTCCTTCTGATATTCTGAAATATCAAATTGGAAGGTGCTCCTTATGTATTTAGATATGTATATATATGTATCATTATGTATGTCTAATAATGGACCATCAGGATGCAAATCAGAAGTTTCTGTGCTGTGGGCAGTTTTCCAGCATTAAGTATTTGCAGGTAAGGTTCTAAAGAAAGTCAAAATACTTAACTGGTAGAAGTCACTGGCCAGACTACAGGTGCAAGAGTTTCTTGAAACACCTAACTACCTTTGTTGGGATTAGCCCTTGTGTTAGCTGCATTTGCTTCTTTATCTGTCACATTTATCTGATGTTTAGAAACTCAGAAGCAGCTGAAAGAGAAAGGTAATTGATTCACTTTATTTTTCTCTGTGCGTAAAGAAGGAAATGGAATGGGCAAGACCTGTTGCTCTAAAAACATCGAGGACGTGATGACTAGAGGCAGTAGAGTAGAACAGTTAACTAGCTGAATTTCTACTGTTTTAGTAAATGTATTTTGCTGATCTTGCTAATTTTTTGAAGTTTTAAGGTAATCTCATGTCAGTAATGAAAGCTGGCTATTTTAATATATTATACACTTATTTGAATTGCAATTTGTTTCTAAATACAGTAATGATACACATTATATGGGGGAAAATACTGGAATTGCCCTCCTCCTCCTTTTTTTAGATAAAGAATTTAAAAATATAAAAGAGCCAAAAGAGTATGTTTAACTTAAGTTGTTTTTTTTCTGAAGCTATTTCAAATGATTCAGTTAAAACCTTTATCTCAGAGCTATAATCAGCCCGTGAAGTCAGAATCAGCTTGCTTTTGTGGACCCATAGCGTCAGTCAGCATGTTTTTGTGGACTTTCCTATGTAGCTAGATTTTTGTCATCTTCTGGTTTGCTCTCCTCTTGTCTGTGTAGCTCTGCGAATCATCTGGTCAAGGCTCCTTATATGGCACACTTCCTTGGTATGTCTGTAGACCTAAGAATGCCCTCTGAAAGTACAGTGTGCTCATTTATAGTGATTGAAATAGTGATGGGTGTTTTCATTAAACCTTTTTACCAAGATTTGTGAGTAGGTATATTGACTGAATTGACATTTTAGAGATCATACCAACCAATGATACAAACCTTTTCTTAAGATGACTTACATAGGAATAAATACAACAGAAGAATAAACAGAGAATTTCATTAGTGGCTTAAATTGGTTGTTGAGTTGTTTGGTTTTTCGGTTGGTTGTTTTGTTTTTATAGTTTTTGTTTGTTTGGTTGTTTTTTTTTTAAATCTACTTTGACCATGCAAATTGGGAATATTAGTTAAGTATGAAGATCAGAGTAGAAAACGTGAAGTATATGCTTAATGTACTTAAAGTACTGGACACAACTAAAAGGATTTTGCATTTCTTTCCTTTATCAATGCTTTTGGCTTGGAGAGAAATGCATTAAATAATTCAATATTCTGGAATATTTAGAAGTATGTTTTTATTCATAATACTTGCCTTAGCATGGTTAAATATTTACAGTAATATAGTAATATAACTTGTGGAATTGACTGCATTACTTTGTTTAAAACAGAGTCCAGCCTTTTTGTGTGTGTGTGTATTCATGATTAAAAAAAAATCCAGAAATATTCCCTATATTTCAAATGTAGTTGTCAAGTTTTCTTAATCCCATGAGGGAGTAAGAAGCTAGAAGCTGTCCTTCTTTGTATACTTTTGTTTCATTACATGGTTCTGAACTCCTTTCTATTTTCTGATAACAGTTTTGAACCAGCTGCCTCTTCCATCACCTCTACCTGCTACAACAACAAAAAGCCTACTTTTCAATGGACGGATAGCTGAAGAGGTGAACTGCCTTCTGGCTTGCAGGGATGAAACTCTGGTTTCACAGCTTGTCCACAGTCTCAATCAGGTGTCAACAGATCACATGTATGTATTTTGAACTTCAGCTTCCTTGAAATCAAAATTAACTGGATTGAGAAGGGTGTTTCTGAGTATCTGAACATTAGAACATGCAGTTTTTTTATTAGGCTTACTTAGCAGATGACTGCTGTATAAGATTCAAATGCTTCAGTCAGTCAGAATGTTAATAATTGTCCAGAAGCTCCTATGCATAACTGTGAGGGTTATTTTGTAGATCTGCTGCTCGTTCCGTTCTTGCTAGTTAGGACTGTAGACTTTGTGATGTTGGCTGTACAATACTCATTTATGTTCCACTTTGGTTAATAATGTGCATAGTCAGATTATATATCCAGTATTGCACAAAAGAATTCTTTTGAGACACCCATGTAAGACTCATGTGAATTCTGATTACTTATTGAACTTAAATTGAACCAGCAAGTATGCTAATATATTTTCTTTTTGTCAATTTTTTTCTTCCCCCCCCCTTTTTTTTTTTTAAGTTTATTTTTTCCTGGTGTCCTTTGAATTATCTTGTGTTGACAACTGTATCTTCTTCCTACATACTCCAGTCAATTGTTTTGATCAAATGGAAGTAACTTTAAAAATTCTCAAAATGAACAATAAGTGAAAACATGCATGCATTTATAGAAAATCCAGTACATTTTTTTTATGGTTCAGAAGGGATCCTGTGATGTCAAAGATATGCCAATTTTCTTTTTTAAAATAAAAGATTCCCAGTCATTAGGCTGCAACCCGAATGTTATACATTTATGCATATGTTATTTTCACTCCTACAATAATACTTTCTTGATGTTATGCCAAAATGTTCTTTTATGGAGAAGATCACAATGTAAAAGTGGGCATAAACTTTTAGTAATAGTCTGAAACTGACAGCTAGGTATATGCAAGTGCTTAGTAACAGAAAGTAATTTTGAAGACTAGTAGGAATATCTCTTCTGCTGTTCCTTAAAGAAGCAAGAAAAAAAATAGAGGGAGGGAACAGTGCTTTGCAGACTTGTTTTTTTTTCTATATTTTAACAATATATTGTCTTCTTTCATTTTGGTTTTGTTCTGTTTTGTTTTTTTTTTTACTTGACTCATAGTTTCTTATAATTTGAAAATGCATTTGCCTCTTTATTTGCTTACTTCCACAATTCCAGAGAGTTGAAAGATAACCTTGGCAGTGATGATCCAGAAGGAGATATACCGGTCTTGCTGCAGGCTATCCTGGCAAGGAATCCTAATGTTTTCAGGGAGAAAAGCATGCAAAACAGATATGGGGTGCAAAGTGGTAAGGATTTTTTATTATTAATTGATGTTTGTTGTTCTCTAAGTTAAGGGGACGGATACTAACCATAAATATATGTGGAGCACAACTGTGATATTTATGCCCTACCTTGTATTTGATAGTGCTATAAAGCTATGTACTTTGACATCTTCTAAGAGCACTTGTGTTAGAATAAACATGGAAATAAACTCAACCGGGTATTATTGTAAAAAATGTTTCGTTTCACTGTGAAGTTTAATCTCTAGGATGAGTGATTGGATTTTATCCTAAAATAATTTTCTTTTAATTTCTTTATGGCTAGGTTCATATATTTATCTTACTAAATAATTGAAGTTGGAAAAATATGCCTTGATCTTACTGATGAACAGTAACATGACATGCAGCATCAAAAACATGGAAATGTAGAAAAGACATAGGCAAGGACAAATACATATTCATAGTATTACATTCAACAGCTGTTTAACAGTCAGGATTCTTTTAGAACTGTCCAACAATATTGATTAATCCAGGCCAACTCTTTAATCAGACTTAATTGTCAAAATGCTTAATAATATCTAAGTAAAACAAGGCATGTATGCATTACAGAACACAGCATGGAAACAGCTGCTTGCAAATTGTTGACAAAAACATACAAAATGTTGGATGGCACGAAGTATACAGTGCTAGTCTAAACAGATTGTAAGTGTTTAATATAAACTGTCCATCTCCACCTGTAACAAAGAGTGTTTTAGGGGACAAAAAACTATTTCTTATAAAAATAATGCTATGTGATACCAGGCAAATCTTTTGGAGTTTTTGCTGTAAACTCAGGGTCAACAGGTATGACAGTTGCAGGTTTAAAAGAGGGATGAATTTCTCTCCTGTAGAATTTACTCCAATCTCTTTTGGAAAAAAATGTGTACCTCTGAATGTCTTTTACTCCATCTGGACCTGCAATCTGTTTGCTGGGTTTCTTTTGAAGAGCATTCACGCAAGAGACTCCGCCTCAGGACTCAAGAACTGGGGCATTCCACGTTTGTCCTTTAGAGTCATACTCATGGTTTCTTCTGTGTCTTTCCCTTGGAAAGGCAGAGTACCACTGAGCGCTTAAAACATTAAAACACCAAAAGACCGCCAGTCTGCAGTCTGTCTATGGCCTCGTCTGTTAACGACTTCTGGTGCCATATATTCCAGTGTTCCACAGAGAGAGTAAGCTTCTTTTTTGTGATCAACTGACTCCTTGCTTAAGATTTCCAGACTACGTAGATGGTTTAAAGCAAGCGCTAATTCTGCTAAGTAAAGTCTAACATTATCTTCTGTGAACATCAGCTCTTTGAATAAACGTGTAAACAAGCCTTCTCCCCCGAGAAAATCCAAAAATAAGATACAGCTTCCCTTCTGGTGGAAAAGCATAATGTAACTTGACATTGAAAGGATGGATAACTGCTGCTAGGATATCACATTCCATTTTTGTCTGAACCCCATCTTGAACTTTCAAGTTGGCCTTTTTCAATACCTTTGTTGCATGAAGCATCTGATCTTGAAACTTTAGACAACTCAGGGGAGTAACAACTTAAGGGAGTAAGGCATGGTGCGGACTGTAACCTCTGGCTCTACACCATCTCTGCCATCTGTTACCTCTGTTTTTATTAGAGGTGTCAATGCTACCTCCTCCTCTTTGGAGCATTTTTCCCCCCTCCACCATGCTGCTGTATCATTGATCTAAGATCCTTTGCAACTGGGAGAGAGCCTCTGGATCACTGGTGCCGCCTCCAAAGACAGCTCTAATCACTTACTGTTTTCCCTTTCTTTCACTAACTGTTCCCTTTCTTTGGCTAGCTGTTCCCTGAGGCTCACGGTCTGGGTCTTTAGTTGTTCCTGCACCATCTTTACCAAATATTGCAGGGACAGAGTCACCCCCTTTTCTGCTCTCTGGCCAGCTTGCTTTTCCTCTTGAGCCGCCATAAGGGCAGCCCCTCACACAGTGCCAATCACAGCTTAAAATCTTATGCATCTTTCCATAAACATCAATTACTTCAATATTTTTTTTTCATTTGTACAAGAATTCAAGTGCACGCGTGCCTGTAAAAGGAGGGAACTTTGCAGACACACACTTTCAATAAGAGTGTATATTTAACTGAAAAATCACCTGTTGGTGAGCAGTCCTAGTTTAAGCATGCATGATGCTGTAATGCAGTTTAATCCTACAAGACTTTTTTGTGACCTTGAGATGCATTTTTATGTAAAACATTCTTTGTCATTTAGTAGGAATGCTGAAATGGATTTATGTGTATCAATTTTTTCAAAGCAAAAAATTACAGTCAAGACTGGGATTATGTGTTAAGGAAACTCATTCTAGTAATGTTACTACTACTAGGATGATGTTTTCTCAAACCTGAACATTAACATTTAAAATCAAGGTTGCATTTAAAAGAAATTCTTCAATATTTAAGATACAGGAATGCCCAGGGGAGCCATAAATCTGCTCAGTGATATGACAACAGTGTAAAAAATTTAGAAGAAGATATTTTAGTGCTAATGGCCACAGGCTAATTTCATCTCCTTCTTAGACTAAATGTTTGGGGGCTTATTTTTACTTATTTCTCACTACATCTTAACCAGACATACTTGTTATCTGTCTGGAAACCTGAGACACCTGGTTTTTTGTGGTGCTGGTGGTGGTTGGTTGTAGTTTTTTGGTTTGGTTTTGTTGTTGGGTTTTTTTCCTTCTTTTTTCTTTTAAGCTAACTAGATTGTGCCTCCCATGTCCCACACCCCCTCAACAGAGAGAAGTGAGAGCTGTCCATCACGGGATAGGTTTATAGGGGTTTTTTTTTAAATGCATTAAAAATTGATTCATTTGTGTATTTTGTGTCATTATTTTAAAGCAAATACTACCACATCTGTGTTTCAAAACATGTTTTAAATTTAGACAGGAGAAAATAAATCAATATATATTTAAAGTATTTTAAAAGTGTAGTCTGTGCTTTACACCTGAAATGAAACTGTCTGTGTATTTCATGCTTATATGGGCACATTGTGTCAGCTTTTTGTACACGAATTTTAAGTGTTAGTAGTTTGACTAAAATATTGTACCTAGCTGCATTGAGAGTGGCAGGAAGAGGTGAGCGGGCAGTGAGCACACTGGATGCTGACTTACAACACAAAAACCCCTGGAGTTTCCTCCTCACTTGCCTCTGTGCGAGGCAACCAGTGTCACAGAATCACAGAATGTTAGA